TGAACAGCAATGACATAATAAACTTACTTACGTAAAAAGTACACATAGGTCATGAAAACAATGCAATAACTGACTTATCTCAATGTTTATACAGAATAAATTCTGATTTTAGAATAAATTTTAGAATAAATTTAGAATACATTTTGATTTTAGATGAAGAATATAGTATACCTTATACTTAGGATTTACATTTCAACATGAATTATTTTTTTCATACAGGCAGGAAAGCTTTGAGAGGATTTCAGGTGTTTGGTTCCTAATCCTGCTGACCTCTCCAGCTATCGGACCTCTGCGGCACTTAGGAGCTAATCAGGGATCCTCCTTCTGCATGTCCAAAGTCCTGGGACAAAATGCAGCAGTCTCTTTTTTTAAAGAAATCTACACTCCTGACCTTGGCACCAAGCTCTGGACCAGAAGAGGGAAAAAGTTTGATTTCCAGTGATCTTTCGGAGTAGAATCAATTCACATCAAACTGCTTCTCTTGGTCTCCCCACAAAAAAATGGTATCATACGGCGCTTTCCAGGAAAACACAACAAAATGGGGCATAATCAAGGTAGGTGACTTTGCCTCTGTTTTAAAACAAGCCCAGAACATGTGGTTGTGGATGTGCATACACAGGCTCCTAACATCGCCTCTAAACCCTGGGTGGATGTGAGTGCTCAGTGTTTTGACTGGGTTCACTGAGCAGCTCTGCAAGACTGGGAGAGGGGCAGGGGGGACCGAGAGAGGTAGCACAAAAGACAGTGGCTGGTGATTGATATCAGAGCAGTCCGGCATGGCGCACCGCCAGCTGCCCTGAACTCGGTGAACTCACGGGCGTGAGTGGCAGCTCCGCCCGGCTTACCCTGTGCAGGGCGCAGTGCGGTGGCTGCAGCCAGCCCGCTCCACCGCTGCAGACAGTGAGGGCTCTGTAGCAGGGACACGCAGAGAAAAGCCAACCCAAAGAGCCACGCCCATGAAAACGCTGCCATGAGGAGCTCGCCACACACACCTACACACACCCACACACACACACCTTCTGTCTCTTTCTCTTAAATGCTCTCAGTCCCTTACTTCGTCTCTCTCTCCCTTCAACAGACAGTCTTGCTCTCTCTAATGCAGAGGCACACACTTTCACTCTTTCATAACACCCTGTTTCTGTGAAAGGGCTGTTAAATGGATTAGCCTTAGGGCTGCGGTGCTGGTCTGATTCGCGCGCCAGATGTGGAACCAAACAGACAGACAAGCCTATTTTGGCTGTGAGATTAGAGTAACAGAGGGTGAGCAGTTACAAGCAACACTTAACCTACTTTGCCTTGAGGGTTAGCTGGCTAACCCTTTAACTAACTTTGGATTTGACACAAAAAAAGCAGAATCACTGACTATAACACTGAAAGAATGTGCACATGGGGTGGTAGTTTACCTATTGTTCTCATTTAACAGGCAAATTGTCAGGGGCCAAGTCAATGGCCACTGAAATTCTGACCCTTAGTATGTCTAACCTATGTCTAACACTTTCAATGATTCTTATTACCTTAAAGAGCCAAAATTTTTAGATGGGCCAACCATCATCATACAAGTATTGTGGCCAGGCAAATGTTATCTGTTACTGATTTATGGAACCTGCTTTAGGCCTATCAAGCCTCTGGTCAGTAGTGGCTGCCCCTCCTCTAACAGACTCAGACCTGAGTGAGCAGCGCACTGTGTCAGAGTGGACTGGCCCATGACATTTACCCCTGCGACAACAGCATCCGGAAAGTTGATTAGCTCTGAGTGGCTTAGCCTCAGCCTTCTCCACTCAGCAGTGGTTTAGGAATAAAGAGCAGTATTATTATTTAGAGTGTGTCATCATTTTTTGATATAGACGGATAGGTTTACCGTGCTCAGGGACAGGGTACTTTCTCACCTGACAGTTGAACAGACAGACATCTAGTTGCCGCCTGCTCACTAACATTATACCACACTGTGTGGCACATAGCACATACAAAACAAGTCAAAACATGCAGGGCCAGAAGATAACTCTGGGCCAGAATATCCTGTCTCAATGGCATAGAAAGTAATCTGCCTTAATATGTCATTAATTGAAGGGCCCATAATGGAAGCAGAGCCCTAATCAGCGCTTCTTGTTTGCATCCGCTACCTGCAATAATACACAAAAATTACAGAAGGTTAACCTGATAAACTTAACGTTAACTGTACTTTGAATTAATGAACACTCATGCTAATAGCAAAATTACTGCCATTTCAAGCATTAGCATTTTATGTGTGCACGCTTTTATGGGGTCTACAGGTAGGCTACAAAAACCATATTACACACAAAGCACCATTCTTATGTGTCGACAGCCTGGTAGGGGTCAGATGTATGAATGGCTGATAGATGTAAGGTGTTAGTGAATTACTGATGGCCTACTGCTGGTGCGCATGCAATACACCCTTAAAACTTTCCCAGCACAAAACATAGCAAAGTTCAAATGTATTTCTTTCATTTCATGGCAACTAGGCTACACGTTGAATGGCTGCTTTGAAATAATAGCCTGTGTTACCAGCTAACCTTCACACTGCAGTGAAATATATATGCTCCCTGCACCGCACCTGATCGTTGCAGGCGGATTCAGATGAATAAAACATACGGCTTAAATTGTCCGTTATCTTTCTTCGGAGCAGTAAAAGTCAGACATGCGAGGTACACTGCCCCAGACTCTCAGCGCGTGGTGCTTTTTGACAGCACGTACGTTCCCTTGTGACCATCAGACATGAAGAGAATGCTGTAGCAAGGTTTTGCTCTATGGAGGCTTACGCTGTCGCAGCTGCTACACTGACTGGTGTTAGGCAGAGGAGGAAATAGCGATGTCCGCAAGGAGGCTTGGTGCTTATTCAGTGCTACTTGACGCGAAGGAGGCATACGCAGCCAGGCATGATCGTGCAGTTTTAACTGTGTTCTGTATTTCCTCACATTCAGAGCGACATGTATTGCAACATGTATTGCCACAGACTTTAATTTAGATTGGCCACCTTGTAACAAATCTGACATGTAATCCAGTCCACAACACCATTCCACAAACATAATCACTGGGATTCTGGCAAAAATTGTTTGATACTATGTTTCACATAGAAAGAAAAAAAATGTCCTCTGATCATTGGCAAAACAATCATTCAGTGACCCTGAAGCCATATTAGTCCATGCTGCTGTTTCTCTCCTGCTGCACTGTCACCATGGATGTGGCTCCCTTTTTTATTGGCTTCAGTGCAGAAGAATGAAAACCACTTCTGGCATTCCAAGGCAAGATTATTGCTGACGACGTAAGAGCCTCTATAAGAAAGATGACAATTTATTATGAATTTGACGCTTGATCTGCTGAAGCCTACCGAAGAGCTCATTAAATGATTTTTTAAAATGATCTCTGGTGTCTTGGAAATAGACAGACTAACACTTTGTTGGTGTCATCACGGCATGTGTGACACCTGGGAATCACACCCACCGCTGGTGGGGGTCAGGTGCTTCCAGTCGGCAATCTATTCTTTCAACGCCAAAAGTATTAAGAGATTTGAGGTTTTATCAGTGTAAAAAAAATTGTACCAACTTTGCTAATGAAATAATATGTATGTGTAATTACACACATATCATAATGGACAATACAGGTGTAGTTTTCCTTTAGCAGGTCCAAGCAGAAAGGTGTGGCCTTTCCTTCTCAGTGACAAGTGGGTTCTGAGCCCCTCCCACATACCAGTGGACACGCCTGCCACTTCTAATCAGCTCTGTGACCTGCGAGCTCTGGAGATGAGCAAAAGGCTTACACTCACACATGACTGAGTGGCCACAGTGGGACATGCTGTGAACAGGAGCTTGTGTAGGGTTGGTGGGAACTATGGAAAGCTGGCAATAGAAAACAGGAGATGAGAGTTGGCAAGTTTTTATGAAATGGTTAATGAGGACAAAACAGCTTGGTGAAACCATTCAATGGTTTAATGCTGTTTGGGCAGTTATGTTTAACCTTCCTTGTCAAATTAGGTAAGTGCATATGAAATCTGTCCAAAGTTTGTTTCCCATTCCTGTTGTAATACTAAAATAAAGCACTAATTATGTGTTTATGATCACGATTAAGACAAAGATTACACAATTAAAGAGTATGGAAAGTTTTCTGTGAAGCAAAGCATGGGCCAAATTGCAAAAAATACGCAATACACCCTGTGGTCTCCAAAGACCGAAAAATCAAGTGAGCCATTTCATTGGAACATTAAATTAACATCTGATCCATCAATTAATTACCATTTACGATGACTGAAGAGCCATGTCTTTTTAACTTCAGGTCAGAGTGTTCATGGCTTCCCTTAAGCTCAGCCATAAAACTGCAAGTTGGGATTTGACTGTGATTGAAATTTTTGATAGAAAAAACTGTATAATAAACAATACAACTATCTGCACGTTACAGAATATAATAGTTGATGTCGACATTTTTCTGCATGAACACCAACATCTCTGAAAACACTGATCTGATCCTGCTGAACATATCAAGAATCAAATTTAACAGTAAACACACAGACAAACAGACACTGGCAGATGGAAAGACAGATGCCCTTTCATACAGATACAGGCATACAAACAAACGTTGAGATGCCACTGAGTCCATAGAAACACAGAGGTAATACAGAAGCTGCATGCTGGCTACTGACAATGAAAAAAACCTCTGTATTACAAAAACATAAATCCTACAGGATACATAAGAACAAAATGATGATCTGTGTAACAGCCTGAAAGCTTATTTGCCCTCAGTTGTACGGTCTTTCATGACATATTGATCCTTAGATTGCAAACAGTTTGAACAATCAATTCACATGGAAAAAAAGAATGTTGCCACTGTGTCACAATATTGATGGTGAAGTCAAACCATTACATTAGTGTCATTTAGCAGACATTCCTATCCAAAGCGACTTCCATAGGTTATAGTTTTTATATGTTATCCATTTATACAGCTGGATATTTACTGAGGCAATTCTGGGTTAAGTATCTTGCCCAAGGGCACAGCAGCAGTTGGGAATCGACCAGCAACCCTTCGGTTACGAGCCCTGCTCCTTACCACTATGCCACACTGCCGCATCCATCTGTAAATATCCTTTATCTTGTCTCTACTGATATACATCAGTTCTAAAACAAATACTGCCACATGAAAGCAACTTATTATTGGTATCTGAACAGAACTACCCCTTCCATGGTGGCTTGATATTCAAATAATGGCCACTTACATGTTTCTGTGGCAGGGTTGAGGGGACGTACATGGTGACGTGATAAAAAATGTGGGCACCGAGTAACCAGTGGCAAGTAAATGAGGCCCCAGCAGGCCCGGTCATTGCATATCAGTGCAGATCAGTCAGCGGGAAGACTAATAACTATGCAGTGCTTACAGCAAAAGAGCACTAACAACAGGCCTGCCCTGGGCAGTGCACAGAGACCCGGAATGCATTCACACAGAGCACGGCCTCCTCATTAGTAATACATGCGCTGAGTGCAGTCAGAGGAGAGGCAAGAGAGACAGCACATGTATCAATACAGGCATACTTATTCATCACTAGGTGCAATGGGTGCATGATGCTATCTTAGTTCTCCGTGTGTTTGTGTGTGTGTGTATGTGTGTGCGTGTATTTGTGTGTATGTCCCGGAACACTGATGACTAACACTGCGGCAGGGATCCACTGACCTGGCTTGCTGCGGGAAGCTCTGAGTCAGCCCGTGACCCTATGCTGTGGTGTTGATACCCCCCACAGGCCCCAGCCCAGGCCCTTGCCATCCCTTCATTTCCCTAAGCTGTCAAAATATGGCATGTGCTCCACCATGCTCAGACATACAGCGAGTTTTGATTGAGGGGGGGCGCTCAACACGAGCTCCCGAGCGCACTCCCCAGTGGCTTGCAGCTCGTGCCGAAGCAAGAGGAGGAGAAGAGGGGAGAGCAGTGGAGATGGACAGACTTGAAGTGGTGGGGCTAACACGTATGCTGCAGGGGATTTGTGCTACATGAACTAGATTCAGCATTATGTAGAGAGACAGTTAAAATAAAATAGCACAAGATCCTCTATGGAATCACCTTCGACTCGTGTTGGTTACACGTCGTCAGAGCCGCTGTGCTTCAGATGCATTTCCTGAGACATAGTTCATGTAATACAAGGGCAAATGTGTACTTTTACAAGTACTTTTGCACATGAAATGAGGCCAAAACAAGGGCAAAGGGGAAGGGAATGAGGCAAAGAGCTGGGCAGCCCCAGGTGTAATGCAGCCCGACTAATTCTATTATTATCAGCGGCCATTGACGACATGAGCTTCCTGCCGTGGTCACATGGCCACTCTCCCTTCTCCTTCACAATGCCAGTCAGTTAAAGGCAGACCCAGGCTCAACTGAGTGTGACTTCACCCATAACAGACCTCACTGTCCCCTCTCAGGCCCACACCAGCCACAGACAGTCACTTCCTGTTGACAACAGGCAGTCACTTCCAGTGGCCCACAGTCAGTCACTAATCTAAGGCTCTAACAGGAGAATGGTAGCCACAGACTGGCGAACTGCCAGCACACCGTAAGTTGAAATTCTACAAAACATTTCTTGCGCAGACTATAAGAACAGTTTTGTGGAGGCTGCCAAACTTAGCTTATTGTCAGCAGCTGTTGACTGAAACTGGGTATTTCAGACAGACTGACTTGCCCCAGTCCAGGACAAATAATCATAAATTGATACTCAATAGTCCAGGAATCCTGCAGTATAGTCAGCTATTTCCCTGCTATGCTGTGTTACGTCTAATGGCAAGATTCATCTAAATCAAAACACAAACTGTATGACTTGATATGCTTTCAGGGAGGGAAGCCTATGCATGGCAACAGAGACAGCATGGTGGCCAGGAGTACAAGGGCATGTGTCCTTCTCCCTTCCACTGTCCTCCTGCGCAGAGCTTTCCAGACACAGCACTCCAGTGAAGACAGGAAGCACAGGTGGTATGTGTGGCCCTCCACATAAAGCAGACGTGCCAGCCCGGGCTCACTCTGCTGTGTACCCTTATAGCGGTGCTCTTTTAAATGCCACAGATGGAAAAATTATCTGTTGTTAACTTCGCTATTATCATTTATCATGTTTGCTTCATCCACAAAGACCTTGGAATTCATTTTAATTTTTCAAGCCAGAAACTGTATATTTTATTAACCTCTGGAGGATATGTTTAGTTGGACATAGGCACATACAAGTCAATGGTTCCTGCATAACTACTTTATAGATGTTTTTACGTGCAACCAAAAACTTTCCCTGTGTTTTTTTTTTCTTCTTAGAAAAACTTGCAGGTTTCCACAGTAAAATTTCATATGAAATATTCAAAATTCATATAAGACAAAGCTAAAAACAGACTGTTTCTGTTATTCATTTGTGAGGGATTTCTATCACCAACACTCAATGAGGGGTGGCTTATACCTTTAATTGTAGACTGTTTTATAAATGGACTGATCTACAGCTGTGCAGTCAGTCATATCCCTACTTTGTTTTTCCAGTACTCCAGTGCCAATTCAATACAAAATCAATACAGAAAATGTTGTGGTTGCACATTGAAAGCTGTAACTGGGTGAGTACGACAGGGTTTGGTCATTAACTACTTTGGCATCAAATCTGTATCTGCCAGGTTCTGTGTGAGTGAGAATAAGGCAATGGTGGGATCAAGCATGCCTAGTACTTCGTGGGACAGTAACACCAGCATCCTTGTGGAAAAACTGGTGACATCACACCTCATACTGCGCCTACTCTCATTCAGAATTCACAGGAATATAGGTCATCACAATCACCATCACAGTGCACAAACAGCCATGGCCACACCATAGTCATAACCTGTAGAACACATTGACGTCATACTGTGACCTTTGACATGAGCCTGAAAACTGATGAGGACCCAAAGCTGTTAAACCTCACGCACCACGCTGAAACAGCCGTGATCTTATCAGACGCTGAATTATCAACTGAAAGAATGAGTGTTTCCCTTGGTTGTGTAACAATGTTTCATCTTGAATGAAAGCATCTGAATCCAGCATTCTGTTATGACTGTGCTAGCAACAAGAACATACTTCAAGAAGATCCTTTCTGAATGAAATATCTGGCCAAATCTGGCCACACAGGTTGATGAGATGAAACATTATGAGCAAACATTTTGTTCAACAGTCCTCAAAAATTAAGCGCGCATGATGAGACATACACCATACCTCCTTTCTGGACAAAGCCACCTATACTGAAATCTAAACCTAAATTAAACCTGTCGTTTATTTACCCTGTGTCTTTGGGAACTTTGGGAACATGAGAACAGGACAACAGTCAGACTGACAACCTTGTCCATTGAGAATCAGCTTCAGATGAGGTAAAGAACTTCAGATGAGGTAAAGAACTGAACTAGACAGCCCAGGTGCTCATCTATGTCTGACTCACACAGGCCCTGTTCACACCTGGCATTAATATGCGTCTTGGGTGATCCGATCACAAGTGGACAGCTGTAAGTACGTCAGTTCACGCCTGGCATTAGAACACGTCTCCACATGCGTCTCGAGTGACCACTTGTGATCGGATCTCAATGAATATTTGCGTTTGGGTCATTAACTGTCTGTTTACCTTTCAAATAGCCTACGTTCTACATCTCACGGTTTCATACAGCCACCGGGCTCACGGTGTCCCGGACACCAATAGCCACCATATTTAACACTAGAACCACGGTGAGGTTAATCGGCAGATTACCGTGGGGGTGCGTCAAAGTGATGCTTTTATTTTTAAATGAAAAAAAAAAAAGTCATGTATGTGTATTGAATTTTGAAAATCGGTACGGGGTTAATTTAAGGCAGGTCTTTAGAATCACAGGGATACTTGAACTTTGTGTTTTCGTTAGTATAATAATGTGTTTTCAGCTTGACATTTCAGCATGACAGTGCCACGAATAGAGCCTTGCTTCAGAAAATCACTGTCAGTAAATCCAAGGTGTAACTTCATTGAAAAGACACGATACTAAGCTTTATGTACATACAAAAATCTTTGCCGACCTGACAGTGAAGAATCTTTTCTGAAGCATTCAAATATTGCTGTCCAGGACACTGTGAGCCCGGCAGCTGTATAGCCTACAGGACACCGTGAGTTTGCGCTACTGTCAGATGCGCATCCATTCTCTCTCGTGTCGTAGCGACGGAGAACTTTAATCCCTGTGAGTAGGCGGTCCTTCAATGTGGCCCAGACACATTCACGTACACACTGCTAAAAGAATGTGGCCATATGCGGCCCAGACCTCCAAATGTGGTCTGAGCGATCGGATCTCAATGCGCATCAATGCGTCCTCAATGCGCATTCACACCTGTACTTAGAGCTGTCCACTTGTGATCGGATCACCCAAGATGCATGTTAATGCCAGGTGTGAAAAGGGCCACAGTGCTCAGAGTCAAGCTACTACTGCACATTTACCATGTGAGGTCTACCCACTGCCTCTGGTCTCGGCTTCCATAAATCAATCATGGCTTAACACAAAGAGAACAAGGCTGGCTAACTGATTTATCACTCCAACACAATGGAAATAGTCATGGTTCAGCAGACACACTAACAGCTCAGGTGCAATAGGAAACAACAGACAGAACACAGTGTTCACCAATTACCCACTTCAAAAGCTGACCATTCTGTGTTCAAATGCTAGTTTGTGAACAGCTTGCAGAATACGGTGCGCATTCCTAAATACTTCCTCATACATGTCTCCCAAAGAGAAACGGCTGTTGCGGGCAGAACACAAAGGACCTAAAAGGCCTCTTGACAAGACATGCCCTGTGAATCTGTGCTCCCGTGACACATGTCAGAACATTTGAGTGAGGGGGAGAGGTCAAGAGAGCAGGGACAGCATCGGTTGCTCAGGCTGGCCCTCTTCAGCAATGCACCGTTGAGCTATGGAGTAAACAGGAAATCATGTCGTCATTCCCCCCTTTCTCCCCTGAATTGCCAGGGGTCTATTTTTAAAAAATAGCCAAGTGGACACAGCCCATATTGGGCCGGGGGCCAGCAGAGCTTGTCTAGCAGCATCACTGCATCAAAATGGAAGTGGGGAAGGGGTGGGTGGTG